GAATGACACAGCTAGTGAGTGAGCGGTGACATTATGGTAAGTATTTTACACACATTATCTTATGAGTTCCTCACATGCAGTGAGCTGAGCATCGTCATCCTTGTTGAATGGAGGAGGAAACTGGAGTTCAGTGAGGCAGAGCTGTGCCCTGTGAGAGCCAACCCTGCAAGCCAGGGTCTTCTTTCCCTCCTCCACCTTCTCCTTCTCTTCCCTTCCCCCCTCTTCCTCCCGCTCCTCTTCGTATTCTGCTTCCCACTCTTCTTTCTTCTCTCCCTTCTAGTTCCTGCTCCTCCTCTTCTCTCCTCCCCTCCTTTCTCTCTGCTCTCCCCTCTGCTTCTTGAACAAGAGTACAAGGGGCGTGACCATCTTCCCTGCACCAGTGACCCCATGAACGTCACGCACGGTGATCTGTCTCTCTAGGCCTTGCAAGAGGAAATCGCCATCTCGGGCGGCAAGATGAGGCTGAGTTACTTGAGCAGCCGTACGCCGGGCTACAAGTCTGTCCTGAGGGTCAGCCTCACCCATCCGACCATCCCCTTCAACCTCATGAAGGTGCACCTCATGGTGGCGGTGGAGGGCCGCCTCTTCAGGAAGTGGTTTGCCGCAGCCCCAGACTTGTCCTACTATTTCATCTGGGACAAGACGGATGTCTACAACCAGAAGGTGTTTGGGCTGTCGGAAGCCTTCGGTAAGTCTCCCAGCCACAGGACGCAACACCATCCTCAGAGAGACAAGAGATTTGGTGGGACGCGGCCCTTTTTCTTCTTACTCCTTTCCTTCTCTCAGAAGTACTCAAGGCTTAGTTGACCATCAAGACCTTTCAGTGACCCTCCCTGACCTAAAAGAATGTACTCAAAGACCTGAATGTGGAAAACTTGATCACTAAAAAAAAAAGAATTACAAAACCAAAAAGGCCCTTGAAAAAACACTATGGTGGTTTGTGATGGGTAAAAGAGGTTTAGTGCCACCAAGATAGAGCCATGTGGACATTGCCGTGGCCCCCACAGCCATCAGGCCTGTACTTGCCCATTAAAAATATGGGTGTCTTGCCCTGGCTGGTGTTGCTCCGTGGTTAGAGCACCAGCCTGGGCACTGGAGAGTTGCGGGTTCAATTCCCAGTCAAGGGCACATACCTGCAAGTTCAATCCCTAGCCCTGGTCAAGGAGTGTGTGGGAGGCAACCAATCAATGTCTCTCTCACATCGATGTTTCTCTCTTTCTCCCTCCCTCCCTTTCACTCTCTCTTAAAGAACATCAATGGAGGTAGCAACCTGGGGTGAGAATTAACATATATATATAGCTCCTGGGTCTCTCCAGGTTCATTGAGGAGTAAGATTCTTCCTTCCTCAGAAAGGCTTTGTGGCCTCTTTACCTCATTTCCAATCACAGAGGTTTTCTCTTCGTTGTTGTTATTGCTGTCATTTTTTTAAAGATGAAGCAGAAGGTGACTCACCTGTCCTAGAGTCCAGCCCCACCCAGACCTTGGCTTCTGGGGGCTGGGTGTGCTTTGGGATTAGAGCTGGACCCTGGGATTGGTTCAGAGCTGGACTGTTGGCAGTTCTAACCCTTGAGAGCTAATGCTACAAGCACTTAGAGCAGCGATTAACCGGTGTGCCACAAGTATTTTTAAAATGTGCAATACCTGACTAGTCAGGAGCACTAACCTCTTTTTCTTTAAATTGTCAAATTAAAAAATGACAACAGCCAACACAACAATAGCCATCTGGTGTGAATGAATCAAAATTATACCTATATATTTTGTCAGCAAAAAATATATTTTTTGGTGTACAGAATTTTTATAATTATTTTATGTACACCATGAGATGAAAAGGGTTAAAAATCACTGACTTAGGGTAATACCCCAGGAAAACCCTCTCATCTTGAACACTACTCCTACCAGTTAAAAAGGGAAGTGTCCACACAGGGAGACCTCAAGGTTCACTCTCCTGACATGACCAGTAGGAGGCATTATGCCTGCATAAGGGACTCAAGGTCATTTTCCAGCCATATTCCCCTCCTACCATGGATGGTCAGCCATCTTTTATGGTACTTAAAAGAAACTCTAAGGGGCTGCCCAATTGTTAACTCCTGTCTTGTGTATGTGGTAGGATATTGTCCACTGGAAAATAGTGTCAGCCCAAAAATGGCATTCCCACCTCGGACAGTTCCTTTCCATGGAGCAGTCATTGGGCTTTTCACACACCCAGCTTTGGGAAGCCTGCCGTGGGGAGCCTGCATCCCAGTGGCCAAAGGAAGCCGTGACTTGTGAAACCCAGGGATTTTCAAGTTTGAAACCTCAAAGCCATTTCCAGCTTTCAAAGTACCCTCGCTGAGCTCCTTTTCATAAATTCATTACAAGTGATTTTGGGTTTTTCTTTATTAAAGTAATACTATTCTCATTAATAAAAATTGGATAAGTAGATAAAATAGCAATAAAGTCGTATGTTCATCTAAGCAAATACAACCACTTGTTAACACTTAATTTCTTGATGTATGGTTTTTCTTAACACAGATATAATATGATATATAACTAGTTTTTTCAACTTAGCATTATTCCTGTGTCACCTATGGTCTTTATAACCATAATTTCCAGGGGCTACATAATATTCCTCCAGAGCATAGTACACTTGGGTTTGCTCAACCTCTAGCCCCTTTTGAACCTTTAGGTTACTCCCAGTTTTCCACTATTAAAAATAATGCTACAAACAAAAAAACAAAAATAATGCTACAGTAAAGACTTTTGTGCCTAAAGTGTTTTCCATACTAAAGAATTTTCCCTGGAATCCAGTCACCTGGGTCCTTTTAAAAAGTAGTTAATACATTTGTTTAATTTTTCCTAATAATATACAATCACTCTTCAAAAAAGGGCTATTAAGGCCCAGCATCCCTGTGTTAGTTGTGCATATAGATGTGGTTCCACTTAGAAATGTGATCCTTTTTCCTTTTCTACAAAAGACAGGCAGGGGCCTTGCATGCAGATCTAAAGCCAAAGAAGAGGCCTTGCTCACTGTGCATTCTGTGCCTTTTGTTGTCTGCAGTCTCTGTGGGTTATGAGTACGAATCCTGCCCGGATCTGATCCTGTGGGAGAAAAGAACAGCAGTGCTGCAGGGCTATGAAATCGACGCTTCCAGGCTGGGAGGATGGAGCCTGGACAAACATCACGCCCTCAACATCCAAAGCGGTGAGTGGGTGGATAAAATCCCCAGAGCCCAGTCTTGCTGTGATGTCCTTCGTGCCCTGCGAGACAAAAAACACACACTTCAGATTCCACGGGCTCCTATGGGATCCATCGGTCTGAAGGATTAGTCCATGAGTGTTCCTGGGGTCCCTGCTCTGTGCTTGTCACTGCTGGGCTCTGGGGAAGCAGAATGGAAAGGCCTCAAGAATTTACTCAGATCAGAGGCCAACACTTCCCAGGCAATTTCCATGCTGTGCCATGGACAGTGCCATCACAGAGGGACCAAGGCACTGGGGCATAGAAGAGGGACACGTCACTTAGCTTCATGGTTCAGCAAGGTACCTCTTTGGACAGAACTTCTGAACCGATTCTCAGAGGGTCAGCCGGATTAGCCCTGTCTCAAGTAAGAAGAGGGCACAGGATGTGCCAAGCACTGAAGCATGAAAGATGAGTCATTGGAGAGGAGGAGTCATTGTGGTTTGAGCAAAGGGTGAAATGAAGGGAATAGCAAAAGCCAAAGCTGGGGGCTTGGCAGCTGAAGTTCATCCAGAGGCATATGGAGGGTGTGAAGCATGCAGGTGCCACAGTCAGATCTGAATTTCCAGTAGCTCACTCTGTGTTCTGGGATGAGACCACTAACTACGGTAATGATGTCCTAATCTGTACATACCATGAATGCCTATCAAAGCCACCACATGTTTTGGGGGGAAATTGACAAATTCGTTCTAAAACTTATGGTAGAATAAAAATGTGTAAATAGCTAAGGCAATCTTCAAAATAAAAACCAAAAAGAGGCACACAGCAGATATTAAGCTATCCTAGGAGAGTCATTGTATCTAAAACTTTGTGGGGCTGGCGCAGGAACAGATGAATAGATACCAGGGGACAAAACAAGGAGCCCAGACCCTGACCTGTGAGTAGTTATTAGGACGAGGTTTGGCCATGAGTGACAAAAAAACCAAAATAACAGAATTGCAAACAGGTTACAAGTGTGTTTCTCACGCACCTGAAAGTCTGGAGCTAGAGACGCCAGGGCTGGTTTAGCACTTGGCAGGCTCCTTTCCTACTCAAGCCTCCATCCCCAAGGTCATGGTCCAAGGCGATTGCTTCCGCTCCAAACTTCACATCCACTTTCCAGCCAGCAAGACGGAGGAAAGGACTAAGAGCAAGCCCTTTCCACTCTAAGGACACATCCCAGCAGCTGCCATGCCACCTCCACTTCCAAACATTGGCCGGAACGCAGTCACCTGCCAAGTGTAGCCGCGCACCAGGCTGGGATTGTAGGCAGCCCCAGAGAGTCTGTGCCCTGCCAAGTACCAGGTTCTATAACTACAGAAATAAGGAAGGGGGATAGGATGGATACCATGGGTAACTGCAGGTTTCTTCCATATACCATGTGTTCATGGGAACTTGGTATATGATAGAGGGAGCATCACTTACCAGTGGAGAGTGGATAGGTGTTTTCGAAATTGGCATTTGGGAAATTGGCTCAATATATGGAGAAAAACAAACGTAAGTTCATACTTTGCACAAAGTAAACAAAATAAAGTTTGATTAAAGATCTAAATTAGAAAGATAACACATTAACTTTCATAGAATATCTTTATGATCTTAGAGAGATTCCCTAAAACCTAAAAAAGCACAAACATTCAAGTAGAAAAATAATTGCTCAGACTACATAAAAATGAAAGGTATCCCTTCAACAAAGGACAAAGCTAACAGGTGACAGCCTGGGCGAAGATGCTTCTGATGGAGCAAACAAAACTCGCTCAGGCTGTGGTGCAGAAGGGGTGAGGCTGGAGACCGAGTCCAACTTGGTGGCTGTGGCAATAATCCAGGAGCTAGTGGGTGATCTGAGCCTGAGGGGAAACAGTGGGGAGATGGGATGGCGCTTACAGGTCATCGAGGGCAACCCCTTCTTTGCTGGGGAAACTGAGGCCAAGGGCAGTTAGAGCAGTGAAGAGACTGACAAGAGCTGGGATCCGCCTGTTAGTTGCAAAATGAGGCAAAAACCCAGTTCTCTTGACTCTACCTTGGTGAGAAGAGACTGTGAGTTCACTTCCCTCATGCATTTCTATAAACATTTATTGGTGCCTACTCTGTGTCAAGTTCTGTGCTGGGCACTGGGGATACAAAAAGGGAAAAGACAAGCACCGTCCCTGTACTTGAAATGGTATCAGCCTAAAGAGAGGAAAACAGGCAAATGCGATAGAGAATTCGTGCTGTAAGAGAGACCAGAGGGAGGGATAGGAGATGAGTTCAGTCTATGTGAGAGGCCGTGGAGATGAATAACTAAGAGCCCGGACTTACGGCTGCTCCTACCACCACCTGTGTGGCCTCAGGTACGCCACTTTGCCTCCCCCTCCCCCCAACCCCTGTTAGCTTACAGAGTCGTTGTGAGGATCTCATCCGTAGAGCAGTATGGCCTGTCCGAGGTTTCATTCTGGGGTGAGGCAGCCTTGGGAGATGTCCGGAATGGCAGGCAGAGATCTTGCATTCCTTACAACACCACGGGAGCTCTGTGGTCAGCCTCAGAAGAGAGCCTCTCCCTGCTCCGTGGGTGATTCTGTTCTCTGTCTCCTCGCAGGCATCCTGCACAAAGGGAATGGGGAGAACCAGTTTGTGTCTCAGCAGCCCCCCGTCATCGGGAGCATCATGGGCAATGGGCGCCGGAGAAGCATCTCCTGCCCCAGCTGCAACGGCCTTGCTGACGGCAACAAGCTCCTGGCCCCGTGGCCCTGACGTGCGGCTCCGACGGCAGCCTCTACGTGGGAGATTTCAACTACATCCGGAGGATCTTCCCCTCCGGGAACGTCACCAACATCCTGGAGCTGAGGTACATAAGGCGCTGCCTTCCTCACCGTTCCTATAACGTCCCTTTGCCATCCTGTGGGCCCAGCTGGCCTTACCCACCAGGCCCAGAGAAGGAGCAGGGCAGCACTTCACCTGTCAGAATCCGGGACCTCTCACTGCCCAGCTCAGAGGCTAACCTGAGCCGAGGGCCCTGAGGAAGCAGCAGCTGATTCCCACAGGGCACTGCAATGTCGAACCTCTCTTGGGACAGGGAGGTAGCCTTGGCGTCCAGCTGACGTAGAAGGCTGCTGGCAACCAAGAATTAAACCTGGAAGCCCCTGGATCTTCTTTCTGCCTCCTAGCGCCAAACTGACTGGAATCAATCACATGAGTCTTTTAACGAGGGCAAGGGATGGCATCCTGGCCAAGGCCCCCCTGCCGGTGTTACCAAGTTTTGCCCCGTTACTTAACATTCAGAGTTAGGAGCTGTTTTTTCAGCTGCCCAATACTGAGAGAAAGCCCTCGGACTAAAACCGGGCGTTGTCTGTCTGCTTCTGTGGTGCCACAGAGCCAGCCGAGTCGGCCTCTTCTGTTTCCCCATCCTGACTGACCAGGCGTGACGGAGCACAGCCGTTCTTAGGGAGCAGGGAAGGCCCTGGTGTGGCTTTTCCCCATGCCTCCCTCAGCCAGATCTCCTTACAACCACAGCACTGTCTTAGGGTGGGTTCTGGGTTACCAGAAGCTGAGGTTACAGATAGGAGGCGCTCCACTCTCCCTTTCAGGAGACACTGCACCAGGTTCTTCACGGCTGCTTTCTCCTGGGCTGGGGTCCAGGTGAACAGCACAGCCCTTGGGCAGGAAAGCCTTCCTCCAGAGCAGCCAGGGGAAAAGCAGTCTCGATTTTGTGAGGCCCCTGCTATTCAGTTTAGGAGTTCTGCGAGGGAGGTAGTATTGCTGACCATGGAATTTTAAAAACCCGCCAAAGGTCCAGCTTCTGGAATGGTGGGTGCAAACCCAGAAGGCCATCGTGCAGCTCTGCCGCACCAAAGATCAGTCACCTGGACCCGTGAAGGCCACTCTGGCTTAATACCTTGTCCAGGTACTCTCTGGAGGTCTGTGCCTGCTGAGAATCTCATTCTGCAGTGCACATGGCTGACCAACAGCCACAACAGCCCCAAGAGGAGCACATTGGTATTTGCCCACTCACGCAGGGACAGGGAAGAAGAGGGTCTTGCATGAAAAGGATTAGAAGCTCATATTCTGTGGACCCATAGGAAATCAGATAATAGGCTGAATGAGAACCAGGCCACCAGGAGTATTCTCTGCCTTTCTTCTCTCTTTTATGAGTGTGATTGGCAGAGGCATCTGCCAAGGAAGAGGGAACCCTGGGTGTAATTGCTTTGGTCAACTGCTCATATTGTCTTTCCATCTCCTGTCCTGTGATGGAAAGGGCCATGGACAGGGGGTCAATCCACCTTGGCAGACAAGCTGTACAACTTTGGGGAAGACACTTACCTTCTCTGGGCCTCCTTTTTCTTTTCTTTTTTTCTTTTTTTTTCTTCTTTTGTTCTTTTTGTTAATCCTCACCCAAGGATATTTTTTCCATTGATTTTTAAAGAGAGTGGAAGGGAGGGAGGTGGAGAGAGAGAGAGAAACATCCATGTGAGAGAGACACATCGATCATTTGCCTCCTGCACACTCCGCTACTGGGGCGGGGATCAAACTGCAATCCAGATACATGCCCTTGACTTGGAATCGAACCAGTGACCATTCAGTGCTCAGGCCGAGGCTCTAATCACTGAGCAACACCTACCAGCTCTGGGCCTCCATTTTCAACCTTTCAAATAAGAGATCCCATTTCCCCTGTCTCCCTCCCACTGTTTCGGGGAGATCATGGAAGACAGTGGGTAAGGAAGGGAGGAGTCAATGAAATTTGGAAAGAAAGATAAATGGATCAATATATTATCATCTTGATTTAGTTTTCTTTGAGTCTTTTTGCCCCGGTCTGCTTCTCTGTGTTGCTGTCTCCCTTCTAATTATAGCATATCTCCCATTCTGTATTCTATTATGAAGATCATTGTAGCAGGTTCTGCAGGTTTTAATAACTCTCGGTAAGGCCCACGGGCAGAGACACAGCAGTGAGCATGTATATCTCTGGGAATGCGTGTCTGTCTAGGGGGTGGGGGTGGACTGCTCCACCCTCTGCCTCAGCCCTGGTGGAAGCAGCAGCTTGTGTCAACCTCATCCGCTTCCCCGAAGCCAGCCGTAGCGGCGCAGGTGGAACCGCGCCTCTTCCGTGATATGTAGCTGTTTGTAAGTGAGCTCACTGACAAGTAATATCCCATATGAAATATATCAGTGTCATGGCTGCTAAGTCTTTATTTATTATAGTGTTGTACGGTACCATTGCTGTCAAGTTTTCAGGCTGCTAATAATGCTTCTAACCCTGCTGCTAACACCTCATTCTTTCTTCTATTCCCTGCTCTCCTGTCTTCTGTCAGAAATAAAGATTTCAGACATAGGTAAGCCAACCGGTGGAGAATTTTCCCGTCTCTCCTCTGCCTTGTTGCATGTTGTATGGTAAGATGCATGTGTCAATTTCAGATGGCTCGATGGCAAACGAACCCTGTGTGGTTGGAACTGATTGCGGGTAATCGGTTACAATGAGAGGAAGTCGTTAATAATGGCGGGGACAGGTGGTGAGAGCCTGAGCTCCTCTAATCCCTGCAAAGTGCAGCCGCTCCTTTGGTAGTCAGTGGACGAGACAGACTGCAGTGATGGGGAAAATGTTAACCTGGGCATAGTAATTTGAACACCACAGTCTGCCTCTTCTTAGAATACAGGAGGACATCATCCTCACTGTGTTGAGTGACTTGGACGGTCACAGTGGGAAGTCCTGAGAACATCTGGCTCAGGCGAAGGCCCTGGAAGAAGACAGGGCTCAGATCTGTGCTTCTGTGGGCATTCCAGGTGCCTCGGCTTAATGGCTGGGGTGCCAGGTAGCCCCCTGGAAGGCTGGCCAGCAAGGACAGAGCAGGGGAGGAGTTCCAGACCTGACAGACACCCAGAGAGCAATCCCCAAATAGGAACTTTGTCACAGAGTAGACTTGTCATGTAGGCTCACAATGACACTGCAGCAGACAGAATTGGGCCTCATCAGACCAACAGAGAGAAATGTCTGCCTGCCATCGGCTCCGGTCACTGCAGCACTCATCTGACTCCCAGGTGACAGTGACCTCAGAGGCCCCCTAGCCTCACACACATGTGAGTGACTTGAAAGTCACCATGGGCAGACGGGGCTATGGCTGGCATCTCTGCAGAGGGGCTCTCAGTCACCCACACGGGGCTCCGACTCACACGGGGCTCAGACCACAGTGGCACATGGGGGAGATGCTAAGGTGGGATGAAAGGAAGTCTTAGTATGGTAGATAGAGGCAGACCAATCCCAAATCCACTAATGATGATATGCATATCTACATAGTGAGATATAGTATTAATGTAATAATCACAAATGTTAAATGTATATAGAGCAGTGATGGCGAACCTTTTGAGCTCGGCGTGTCAGCATTTTGAAAAACCCTAACTTAACTCTGGTGCCGTGTCACATATAGAAATTTTTTGATATTTGCAACCATGGTAAAACAAAAATGTATATTTTTGATATTTATTTTATATATTTAAATGCCATTTAACAAAGAAAAATCAACCAAAAAAATGACTTCGCGTGTCACCTCTGACACGTGTGTCATAGGTTCGCCATCACTGATATAGAGCTTCTTAGTGTGTAGCAGAGAGAGGTTAAATGATTTGCACGGATTAAAGCAGTTCGTCCGCAAACCATCCTTTGAATTAGGTACTCATGGTATATCTAATGTACAGATGACAAAACTTGAAAGTGACCTTGTGTGAACTTGAAAAAATTACTTCATCTCTTTGGGCTTTAGCTTCTAACTTGAGGTTAATAAAATCTCCCATGGAGATTGTTGTAAGTGTTACAGAGGATGTTTGTAAAGTATCTAGCATTGTGCCAGGCACAGAAAGCAGTTCCAGAAATGGTAATAATAATAATAACACCATTATTAGATAGTAATAATACATCATCATAACAATTACATGATGATGATGATGATGATGATGATGATGATGTCTCCATCTTTCCCAAAAAGGAATTCAATCCTTCAATCCTCTTAACAACCAAAGACACAGGCAGTAAAGTAAATTAAATAGAATTTGGGAACAAAATAAAAAGGAGGAAACACATATATGTGGTCATATATCAAATTAGACTCGGAGCCTCCTTCCAGCCAGAATAAACAGGGAAACATAATAATTTTCATGGTTTGCATTATCAGAAATGGGAAAATCTGTTCACTTCTCAGAGGAGGGATATTTTTTCCTGACACTGAAATCTAAACCAGATTTTCGGTGAGCTTTGTATGGATAATACTGAACTCTGTATGGATATGTGCCCTCAAGTTCAGATTTATAGTAAACACAGAAGTACATTTCATATGAAGATCTTCGTTGAAAACCTCGCATTCAGCATTAAAACCTTCACTCAGTGGCGGTGACTGCCTGGTACACAGCTGGGGTGTGGGGGGGCCTAGCTGGGAAGAGTCAGGAGGCCAGGGTGCTTGTCCAGCTTTTCCATGCATTCATCATGTGACCATGGGCTGGGCGCCTGGCTTTTTCCGCTTTTAATCTCAGAATCTTTAGTTGAGAGAGTTGTGGTTAGGGTGTCTTTTGTTTCTGATATTTAGTTATCTTTTGATAGATCCATGGTAGATTTCAAAGCCAGTTTCCTGGCCTCTTGCAATTCATTGTTTTTCTCAGGTGCTAAAAAATATTTCTAAAGTGAAGAGTGGGAGAGAATAAAGGATTTTTCTTCTGCCTTTTGGTTTTCTAAAGTCAAAACAGAGTGAGAAGACCTGGGTTCTAGCTCTGATTCTCACTGGCACCTGGGTATTGACAAACCTCTTCCTCTCTCTGGGCATTCATGTCCCCATCAGTAAATGTCAGAAGTGGATTAAAGAAATTCTGAAATCTTGTCCTCTTTATCTTTTACTGTCTCCACTGTTCCCAGGAATAGCCTTTGACTCAGGCTGGTGCTCTTAGCCTGCGCGGGTGCTCCCCAGAGCAGTCTCTTCTCTGCCTTCGGCCTTTTCAGCCTCAATATGCCACCAGACTACCACACTGGGCATGCGCAGTCCAGGGACCCCAATCCTTTGGGCATCTTCCTCCCTGGACCCCATCAGGGAACACAGATCCTTATCTCCTCCAGATCTCTTCCCTAGGGTCATGGAGAAATGTTTGAAGCCTGTTGTTCAGAAGTGCATTTGAACTCACCTCCATTGATCCCAGCTATACATATTCTGTTAATTCTAACAGAGTCCTTAACTGCCCCAGGAAAGAGATCAGACAAGACAATATTACGTCTGCCATTCTTGGCTTTTCCATTATGCAATAACATAAATATTCTGGAGGTTTCTCATGGAGACCAGCTGCCATTTATTGGGCTTATTTGTTTATTTATTTGTTTATTTTTGTTAACCCTCACCCAAGGATATTTTTCCATTGATTTTTAGAGGGAGGAAGAGGGGAGAGACAGAGAGAGAGAAAAACACCAATGGGAGAGAAACACATCAATTGGTTGCCTCCCACACGTGCCCCAACCAGGACTGGGGACCGAGTCTGCAACTGAAATACATGCCCCCGGCCAGTGCCAGGCCATCCAGCCTGAACAGACAGATGCCTTTGAATTAGAAGACTTTCCAGAGACTTAGAGGATGCTGTCAGTACTGAGATGCAGTTTGAGGGCTGAGGGTTACCAGGCCGTGTACAGGAACTGAAACAGCTCCCAGGAGTTATGAGTCCAACTCCAATGTGGCCTAGACTTCGATGAAATTGTAAAGCAGTACCATGTGATAGCAAAAGTCAAGCTTAATAAGAAATACCTATGCTCTGGTCCAGCGATCGCCAACCAGTGGTCTGTGAGGCCCGAAATGTTGGCGGCCGCTGCTCTAGTCTTCTCCACGTGCAAAAACAGACATGATGACTAGTCATCAAACAGTGCTGATGTGGAGCACCTCTGAGGTGCCATGATGCTGGAGAACTGTCACAGATGATTTTATGTAATTTTCATAATACACTGGCCAGGTAGCTGCTAACATCCCCATTCTGTAGATGAAGAAAACTTAAGGCTCAGGAGGCCAGCTAATTTGCTCAAGTTTCAGAACCTGGAACTAACAGAGCTAGACCTCAAACCCAGACAGAGCAGACTCCAAGCGATGCCTTTTCCTACCCTGTGCCCAGAGGCAGCGCCTTGTCTCTGCAATGCCTGGGTGCCGCCGAGGTCTGACCTCATTTTCCTGTTAGCACGGCCTGGTCTTCACGGCTGGTCTCCAGGAGTGGAACCATCATGAGCACCGCTCCTGTGTTTTGTTTATTTTCCATTGGCTGTTGCTGCCAATTACAACTAATCCTGCAACTCATTTATATCTGACTGCAAGCGGGAGACTGCTGGGCTCCTGATAACTGTAACTTGTGTGTCAAGTGAAGACCATGTGGACGCTGACTGGGAGTCAGATCTGGCAGGGTCTTATCAGTCAGTCCCAAGAAGGGTTATGGCTGCTGTGAAAATTCTGTGGAAGAAGAGTTCATAGTTCCAACTCTTTTTTTTTATTATCAAATCTTTATTGTTGAAAGTATTACATATGTCCCCTTTTATCCCCATTGACCCTTTCTAGCCCACCCGCCCCCTGCCCCAGGCCTCCACCACCCTGTTGTCTGTGTCCATACAAGTTCTTTGGTTGATCTCTTCCCTCCCACTGTCCAACCTTTAAGTGGTTTGAAAGTCAAGCTCTTGTGTTTCTGGCTTGGGTTTACAGGCCACCTATGGTAACCCTCATGGACATTCCTTTTAAGAAAACATGTATTGAGCACCTGATATGGGGGTGGCACAGGGCTGGGGCTGGGTCTGGCAATCATTGGCATTAATAGTTGAGTGGGAGAGAGAGTTAGACCCACCATATTTGGAGTCAGACAAATTGGGGAACTCACCCCAGAAATGGGTACATCATCCACATATGATATTGTTGCTTGGATTTAAGTTGTACACCTCTGGCTACCTGGTAGGAAAGAAGAAGGGGCTCACCAACTGGCATGTCCTTGTCTTCCAGTCACAGTCCAGCGCACAAATACTACCTGACAACAGACCCCATGAGCGGGGCTGTCTTCCTCTCCGACACCAACAGCCGGCGGGTCTTCAAGATCAAGTCCACCACGGTGGTAAAGGACCTCGTCAAGAACTCTGAGGTCGTCGCGGGGACAGGTGACCAGTGCCTCCCCTTTGATGACACCCGCTGCGGGGATGGTGGGAAGGCCACGGAAGCCACACTTACCAATCCCAGGGGTAAGGCTTTGTTTTTCAGTCACTTTCAGTTAACATGTATTGGGGTGTTTTCCTTTTCCCAAAAAAATAGATGTTTATTATTGGGAAAATTTTGGAAAATATCATGAACTCTATGGAGAAAAGTTGACATCATAATTCTACCTTCCAGAAAAATTCTCAGTTAACATTTCCTATCTTTCCTTTTAGCCTTTTTTCTAAGTGAGTGGGTACATGTAATACTCACCAAAAATAAAGTGAGATCACATTAAACAAACGTTTAGTGACCTACCTTTCTTCCTAACTGATAAAAAATGAGCATTCTCCATGCCATTAGTCTTTGTACTGATTTTTAATGGCTGTATGGTGTTCCAGCAAGTGAATGGCCCATCATTTAGTTGGACATGTATGCTGTCTCTCACACTATTATGTTATAAAATCATTGCCGTGTATCATCTCTGTTCATTTGCTATAGGATGAGTTAACTAAGTTTCCATTTGAGTCCCACAAGAAGTTGGGCCTCTTCATACCCACAATCACAATTTTTCATCCACTTATTCATCAAGTATTTACTGAGGATGCATACTGAGGATGCAGTGCCTTGTGGTTGCATAGATAAGTTTATTGTAGCAGAAAAAAGAGACTTGAATGTGAATACTCTGGCTTGGGAGAGAACAGAAGGGCTTCCTGATACACAAGGAGAAAGAACTCTGTGTGGGAGTCCAAAGCCAAGAGAGGCCCCTGTGCCTAGGAGACTAGGAAGGAAGGCTGTTTGGAGGAGAAGCCAACATTAACAACAAATACCCATCATTCACCTTAAAGCCAGTGACCTATACTGTCTAAGCCTCAGGGTCCTCGTCAATAAAACAGTGGTAATAATACCTCTTGTGTCCACCCCCTAGGATCATTCTGAGGGTCAAAATTAATATATTGCATGTGATAACCTGTAAAAATGCCATGAGTGATTGTATTAGTAAATAGTGCCAGATTTCAGGGCCTGGTTCAAATCAAAGCCATTAGATGCTAGTGAAAACAGACAGTCCTGCATTCAAATTTGGTCATTGCCACCTACTAGCCTAGTGACTTTGGGTGCGTTGCTTAACCTCTCTGAGCTTTATTTCACTCATCTATGAAATAGATACTGTAGAGTTGTAGTACACATTAAATATTATCAGGAATGTTAATGCTTAGTACAATGGTATCAGTCACATAATAAACATCCCATAAATTGGGATTCCTATTATAATTATTATACTATATTGTATTGTGTTATATGACATCCCCTCATATCATATATTATATGATGCTAGAGGCCCGGTGCACAAAAATTTGTGCACTCGGAGGGGTCCCTCAGCCAGGCCTATGCCCTCTTGCAGTCTGGGACCCCTCAGAGGATGTCCACCTGCTGGCTTAGGCCCATTCCCTGGGGGATCAGGCCCAAGCTGACAGTCAGACATCCCTCTGGCAGCCCGGCAGCCCTCAGGGGATATCCACTTATCAGCAGGGAGCAGACCTAAGCTGCAGTCGGACATCCTTAGTGCTGCTGAGGAGGCGGGAGAGGCTCCCGCCACCACCACTGTGCTGGCAGCCATCAGCCTGGCTTGTGGCTGAGCAGATCTCCCCCTGTGGGAGCACACTGACCACCAGAGGGCAGCTCCTACATTGAGCGTCTGCCCCCTGGTGGTCACTGTGTGTCATAGTGACCAGTCATTCCCAGTTGTTCTGCTGTTAGGGTCAATTTGCATATTACCCTTTTATTATATAGGATTCTATATCTCTACCACATACCTGCAGTGGTCAGGTGGGAACTCTGTGAGATAAATATTATGACATCTGTGGTTAATCTTCCTCCTAAATATGATTTCCTAATACTAAAAGAGTAGCATAGGGTGGAAAGAGCTTACACTTAGGGACCCTGCATTGTGGTTTTGCTCTGCCACTCCTCTGAGCCTCAGTGTCCCCGTTGGTAAATGAGAAGATTGGGCTAAATGATCCCTGAGACCCCCTTTCAGTTGCAACATTTTACTCTATGAATTACAACCAGGGATTTTTTTTCTGAGATTTTTTACTCTCTCCGGGTCTTTCTCAGTTGCTCTACAGCAGTGATTTTCAACCTTTTCATCTCATGGCACACATAAACTAATTACTAAAATTCTGTGGCATACCAAAAAATGTATTATATTTTTTTGCCGATCTGACAAAAAAAGATATAATTTTGATTCATTTATACCAGACAGATAGCTGTTGTTATGGTGGCTGTTGTCATTTTTTCATTTGGCAATCTAAGGGAAAAGAGGTCAGTGCCCCTGACTAAATAGTCAGGTATTGCATGTTTAAAAAAATCTTGCAGTTCACCTGTTGAAAATCCCTGCTCTACATAGGTGTGTTCTCCACCCTACACACACACACACACACACACACACACACACACACACACACTACACACAGATATAGTGACAGTGAAATTGCCCAAAAGCCTGTGATTAACCCAAATAGAAATGACAAGGGTGCCACAATATGCAGACACTCTGTAACAGGGAGAAGAAAAGCTGTTCATCTATTTAGCACAACAAAAGAAGACAAAATGAAGTAATTAATTAGAGGACAGATTATTTCTATTAGCCTGTGCAGCCAACTTTGTAAACAAGAAACCCAATTGTTCATGGAGCACTCATCAGTCCTAGCAGATGGAAGGAGAGACAGCATAGCCAGGCAGATAAGAAAACTCCTGTCTTGGTACTTGAAGAATGTAATTCATTCACATTCTAGGCAGGGACCAAAGACAGGCATCCCGCCTTGAGGCTGCCTGGTCCTCGGTATGAAATCACTCTCCAGCCCTGAACAGCCCAGGAGGGGGAAGAAGGAACCACTGCTCCTGTGGCCTTGGCTCTCTCAGAAGCCCTTGGTATCTAAAACCACCCTCTGACCTGTCATAGACACGTGGACCCTGAGAGCAAGGGCCTTAAAACCCACAAAGTGCTGGTCAGGTTCTCATAATAAGTCACTAATAATTATGGAGGGCTAACGATTACAAGTCAGGTGTATTATCCCCATTTTATGGATGAGGAAACTGAGAATTGGAAGGGGAGAGACTTACCCAAGGCTATACCACTGGATACTTCAAGTGTCTCCACCTCTGTGAAGCTTCTGCAGACCCCTTCTTTTAGTTCCTTCCCCAGAGAAAACTGAGCAGAACAAAACACAGAATCTCTTTTATTTCATCATGAACCCTCTCAGGCTTGTCATTCCCTAGGGGCACGAGGGCATGTCTTGCCAGTGGCTCAGCCCCAGCCCCCTGAGCCATCCTCCATTTAGGAGGGGTGTGTCTAACGTCAGGGATTCTGGACCTGAGGTGGAAGTCAATATTAACTGTGAGCATTTTTTAAACAAGCCTTGGTCCTTGTTCCAGCCACCCCCTGAATTAGTATTTCCCAGAGTGAGGCCAAGCAGGTATATGTTGAAAAACTCTTCAGGTAATTCTGTGGGACATCTCTGGTTAAGAAGTACTAACTGACTAGAGAGGTTTTCAAACTTTGATTTCTATCATTATTACCCAAGGTGCTTGTCAAAAACACAGATACCTGCTCAGGCTCCACTGACATTTTCTCAACAGCTGCCTGGGGGTTCATCTTAGCAAACTCCCAGGGGGTTTGCACACACATCCAAGAGTGGGAAATACAGATTTAGAACAATTCCTTCATTGAACAGCTGAGACACAAATCTAGAGCTTTCCAGTGACTAGCCCAAGGTCACACAGCTGGTCAGGGAGGAAGTCAGCAGGGTGGGACAGTCTGGGACAGTCTAGCAAATGGAGCAGATGATTTTTAGTCATAATTTTGACTCCTCTCTTCAACATGCCTTTTTTAGAAATTAACTTCACCAATATTCTCTATACAAATCCAAAGGATTCTTTTGGGGGGCTCTCTACTTCTGTGAAACCAGAGTAGTAATAGAAAAACATGAAAGATGATTATCTTGGAAGGAAAGAAAAATTATTATTGAAAAGGAGATGTGATTAGTGTAATTTAATTACAGGTCTTCAGAAGTAGGTTATTTAAATAATTCACAGTTTTGATATTGAAAAAAGATCCTCCTTATGGCTACATCTAGTGCTTACAAGCCCCCAGAAGGGATGAGTCCAGTGTTTGTGGATGGGTCACGTGGTAGGTAAAAATCCCCAGAAGCAACAAGATGGAGGGGAATCTTGAGACTTGGGTTCTCATCCCTACTCTGAACAAGCCACTCCACACCTCTGGCGTGTCTCCTCATCTTCAGAAGGGGAATGAATGATGTGCGGAAGAGCCAATCAAATCCTGGAGAGGAGGTTCTCTGTCATCCCACAAGCTCCATGAGTAGGTGGGTTGTGACCACCTCTAACCCTGAGTGTTCTCTGCCCAGGCATCACGGTGGACAAGTCGGGGCTGATTTACTTCGTGGATGGCACCATGATCAGACGCATTGACCAGAATGGGGTCATCTCCACCCTCCTGGGCTCCAATGACCTGACCTCGGCCCGGCCCCTCAGCTGTGATTCTGTCATGGATATTTCTCAGGTAAGGAGAAGCTGTGTCTGCCAGGGCCCTGGGTCCGCACGCTCAGCCTCTCACTGGCACCCAGGCAGCCCGCTGGCCGTTGATCTTACACCACACAAGCCTTTTAAGAACACACTCTTGGAGCTGGGTCTGTACATAACACTCGGGACACGGAGATGAATAGGGCGCAGCTTCTCGCCCTGGGAGTTCACCATCAGGGTTAACAAGTGGTGACAGAGGGCAGCTGTCCCAGGAAGCCTCAAAGGCAGCAGAGATGCACACTGTGAATTTAAATCCATGGCCACCTGACTTCCCGCTTTGGAAACACAGCTACTTACACATTGTCTGTTCTCCTTCTAAATAGGAGGACAGGAATTCCATCCACCCTTTCCTCCACTATAACCAGGGTGCCTGATACACAGTAGGAACACAACCAGTATTTGGTGATTTATTAATTGATTGATTGACTGAATCCTGGCTTTGCCACTCACCATCTGAGTATCTTTAAACAAGTTTCTGAGGTCCTTGGAGCCTCATTTTTCACATCTGTAAAATGGACATCAGCCAGGCAGTATTGCTTTAAGAACACAGAAAGCAATGCCTGTGAGGCTCCTAGCATTGCTTGGCACTTCAGAGATGATCAATCAACAGAAGTCTTAGGGCCCACTTTCTCAAAGGAGGGGACATTTGTGCCAGGTGTTGAAGGTTGGATAGGGGTTTGCTGGGTGTTGAGGAAGAATGGAGACATTTCACACAAAGGGTGCAGCATGTGTGAAGATACAGAGATGTTAATGGGCCCAGACATTCAATGAGCATTGGGAAATTGAATGCCTGAGCATAGGGTTCTTGTAAGGAAATAGTAGCAGGAGTTGAAACTGGAAGCATGATTTAGGGTCAGTTGGTGAAGGTCCAGAGAAAAGGGTTTGGACCTTTGCAGGTGGCACCAGGAACCTAGCGTAGACCAGAGGAAGACACAGGTGACAGCTATTCAGCATGTCTGTAATTTGTCCTGCAATGACTTGGTCAGGGATGTGTCCTTTATTGCTAGATCCTTTGTCAGGGCCTGACTAGTGCTTAGTCGGTGAGCATCCATCTTGCCAGCATGAGCAAAACCAAGGAAACAGGAGGCTGGAGTTACCTTTAATTGCACATTGGTGTCAGCAATAGCCACACTTACCTTGTTAAACCCCCTCACTGCTAGGGGAGCCTGCACACAGGCCCTATTCCACTGCCCGTGGACCCACTCCCTGGTGCCCAGCAGGCGGCAGAGGCTGGGAGGCCTCATGGCTCATGCCTACCTCGGTTAGAGATGTGTGTCACAGAACCCCTTTCCCAGAGCCCCAGAGCTGCTGCACGGGTCCCCACACCCTCGTCACATCCCTGTTGGATGCAGATATGATTTCCCTCTGCGCCAGCTGTTGAGATGGTCACACTCCAGAACAGAGTCTGTTCTCTGCTGCTCGTCTTCCCAGTTTGGCGAGCTTCCCTTGCTGGCTGCAGTTTCCCTCTCCAGTCTGTGAGCCAGCCTGGATTGCCCAAGCAGGAAGCTGCCACGGCCTGAGGATGTGTGTGCAAGTGTTTTCAACTCTTAGAATGGACCCTCCACCAGCCAGCACCAGATGCCAAAAATTTTCAATCCACACATGGGGAAATTATTTCACTTTAGATAGAGGTACTGCCAAGCAGCCAGAGCAAAGGCTTGGAGGACAACTGCCATATAGCAGAGGGGGGAAACCCACACTGCGATTCAGAAATCCTGAATAAGAAATCTTTATGTCCCTGGTCCTCCCTACTCTGACCGTGGAATCTAAGCGTGGAATTCTTTTGGCCAAACGCTCCAGACACAGGCATGTATTTTTATATGCACATATGGGCAGAGGGCACTGGCTTCCGTTCTCAGAGCCTCCTCTGTTATAAACACCCAGCTACCTCACCGTCCATGGGGACTAGGGAGGGAAGCCAGAGAGCTAAGAACACAGCTCAGGGGCAAGAGAGCAAAGAGCAGAACCAGGGAACTCAGGCCAGCTGCTCTGGGAGGAGACGAAGACCAGACCCTAGGAGAACCCAGAGGTAGGCAGAGAGTGCAGAAGGAACAAAGGGTGTCACCTGTTCACAACCGTAGATTGGTTCTCAGCTCAGCTGGCTGCAGCCACCACAGACACAGAGGATAACTCTGGACTTAGGCTCCAAAATGATTGCCCGAGGACCTATACTGTTCTGCACACATTTAAAAACGGGGACACAGAAATGAGTACTGTTCCACTTTTCCTGTTTAGCTGTCAAAATAATCCCGAGAGCTAGCTATTATCAATCCCATTTTACAGATCAGGACACCGAGGCGTGGTGACAGAAAATGCAGTTATAAATGCAGAGCCCCAGGCTAGGCTCCACCAGGGATGTGAAAATGAATTGTGTTTAACCCAATCATGTACATCAATTACCTAGCACAGTGCTGGCCAGCTAGCAATAGGCTGTAACTATTCATTCCCTTTATAATTTGCTGAGGGCTGCCTTGTGCATTGTCTTGTTTGATTCTCACACTCACTTTATGTAATATTTATTACCTGCATTTACATAGGGGGAAAGCAGTTCAAAGTATTTAAGTAACTCGAGTAAGATCACACCTGTAGGAATTGTGGAGCCGAGAGAGGACTCAAGGTGTCCTGGCCCCAAACCCCTCCCTCTCTCTATGCCCTTCACAGTCGTTCATTTGTTCATTCATTTGACAATCCAGTTTTTGAAGCAAATCACTCTGCAATAAGGCAGTCACCTCAAAGTGCCTTATAAGGGCACAGCAGCTGGGGAGGACAGGAGAGGGGCTCCATGCCCCCTCAGGACCACAGAACATGGGGGCTGGAGGGGCCACGGTATGAAGGCTCCTCCCTCCATGTCGTTGATGGGAAATGAAGCCTCACCGTGATTGTCACTAACAGGGAGGTGAGATCAGAGAAGCGTGGGCACTTGGTCTGGTCCAGGACATCACCCGGGCACTGGGACAGCCAGGACTGGCTCCAAGAGCGCAGCTTCCCTCCCAGGTCCCTCTGCACACGTGGCTGTAAAGGAGAGAGCAGGGAAGCACTCACCCTTCCTTCATACCCCTCTCTCCACCCCCTCTCCCTAACCTGGCCCCCTCTCCCCCCCCTCCCCACCCACTCATCAGGAAGCCATCTTTTCATCATAATGACAGGCAGAAAGGTCTGGGCAAGCAGGTCCCCAAGGTGCCACAGGACCAGAGGGCATAAAATATTTAGCAGCGAGTGTTGACAGAAATGGGTTTTAGGAAATTGAAAATTCCCCTGTCACTTTAGAGTAAACTGTGTTCTTGATGCAGCTGAAGGCTGTGGGCCTCTGTGCTCCAGAGAGCACTGGGCGCGTGAAGGCAGCCGCCTGGCCATCGGCGCTGCCCTGCCTCAGGCTCCCTGTCCTGTGAGGACAGAGGGACCCAGGCTGGGAGCAAGGGAGCAGGAAAACCTTAGGAAGCAGGGTCTGGGGATCGTGCAGAAGAAATGAGAAAGGGCCTGCCCCATCCTGAGAAGGGACCTCAGCTAATGGGGCAGATGAAGGTGTCCACGTCTCCTGAGTAAGGAATTTACAGGGGTTTCTCTTTACATCTGTAAACTGTCACATAGACATTGTAGGAAATTTACAAAGTTAGTAATGGCAAAGAAGAAAGTTAAAATTGCCTCTAATCCCAATATGGTTACCATCTTAGGGTATATCCCTCAAGCTTTTCATCTCCTCCCTATCCATAATCGATCTAATTTACTGTATTTCCCCCCAGTTGGGATCACACTATACTTACAGCTCTGTAACCTGTTCTTTCCACATAATACATGGCGAACAGTTTCTGATATCATTAAATATCCAGCTGTAAAATCAGTTATAATGGCTACACAGACTATTTTAATTTATGGGTGAACTAAATGTACCATAACTTATTTAGCCCATTCTCTGTCCTTGGGCATTTGAAGTAGTTCCAGTTTTTCACCATTATTGAAAATGGCTGTGATAATCACCCTTCTAGACAATGGTGTACACGATTATATTTCTGGAAGAGAAGTTTCTTATCTAAAGGCATATGCTTGTTTAAATAAGCCCAGATTAGACCGAATGCCAACATTTTGTAGGACCCTCACTCGGGAAACTAAGGTGACGAGTCCCTAGGGATCGGATAAGCAAATCAGCTGAAGGCAGCACATGTCAGCACTTCCAGCCCCTGTGCAGTGTGGCTGGACCCCTTGGGGACACAGCTTCACGCCAGCTCCTCCCCATGCGATATATCCAACCATGCAGCCTCCATTCACTCAGCAAAGCATTCCTCACCTCACCCACACCTGCCGGTGGTCTTTCCCGCGTGCCCACCTGCAGACTCACCATGGTCCCTGCCAGCTTCCCTGCCTGGCTCAGAATAGGCTCCAACATGGGGCCCAGGACCTCTGAACCCCTCCTTCCCATTGCCAGGAGCACCTGTTCCCCATGGCACTAAACATCATTATCTAGAGCAGGGCTTCACAAACTTCAGTGTACATGGGAGTCTCCAGGGATGTTGTTTAAATACGGTTTCTGACGCAGTAGGTTTGGGTGAGACCTACCATTCTGCATTTCTGACTAGCTCCAAGGTGAGGCCAGTGCTGCTGGGCCGGTGATCACACAGGGAGGAGACAGGATCCGGTTGTCATTTCCAGCCCCATGTTAGAATCACCCAGGAAGCTTTGGAAATCATGCCAGGGCCTGAGCCCTACAACCAGGGATCTGACTTCGTTGACCAGGGGTGGGATTTGAGCACCAATACTTTCTAAAATCACTGCAGGTAATTTGAATGGGTGGCCAAATTTGGAAATCACTGGTCTGGAACTATGTCAGAGAGGGTCCATGGTTATTCTGTCTTTATATCCCCAGCACCTAGCCACGTGTTAATCCAAGAATTGAGAAGTCATCTTTCATACAAAAATCATATCAATAGTTCATGAAGAGTTTCTCTTAAGCCTCTGGGCCACACCTACTTCAGACTCTATCAGTCTTCCCCTCCCACCTCCATAGCATTAGCTACCATCCTCTGAGCACTTACTGTGGGTCAGGCTCTCTGCCCTGTGGTCATTCCCATTTTACAGATGTGAATATTGAGACTCAGGGAGGCAAAGGACCTGCCCAAGGTGATAAGTGGTGGGGCTTGGATATGAACCCAGGCCTGTCTGACTCCAAAGTCTGTCTCTTGCCTACTTTTTTGCTTCTTTGCCTTTTTTTTATTTGTTCTTCATGTTTTGTCAATCTAATAGAGGCCATCAGATGTCTTGCATGATTTCATTCTGATAGGGGCCTGACATCCATTGTGGATGACAGGCTGCTGTGAGGACCAGGCATGTGAAGGCACTTGGGACACTGTTATGGACCATATGGAGTATGGGGTGATTAGTGGTGGGCACTTTGCCAAGCATTTGAGTGTTGGTATCTCCATTGTCAGGTTCGCTTGGAGTGGCCCACAGACTTAGCCATCAACCCAATGGACAACTCCCTCTATGTCCTCGACAACAACGTGGTTCTGCAAATCTCTGAAAACCACCAGGTGCGCATTGTTGCCGGGAGGCCCATGCACTGCCAGGTCCCCGGCATCGACCACTTTCTGCTGAGCAAGGTGGCCATCCATGCAACCCTGGAGTCAGCCACCGCCTTGGCTGTCTCTCACAATGGCGTCCTGTATATCGCTGAGACCGATGAGAAAAAGATCAACCGAATCAGGCAGGTCACCACGAGCGGAGAGATCTCGCTAGTGGCTGGGGCCCCGAGTGGCTGTGACTGTAAAAATGATGCCAACTGTGATTGTTTCTCTGGAGATGATGGTTATGCCAAGGATGCAAAGCTGAATACCCCATCTTCCTTAGCTGTATGTGCTGACGGGGAACTCTACGTGGCCGACCTTGGGAATATCCGAATTCGGTTTATCAGGAAGAACAAGCCTTTCCTCAACACCCAGAACATGTATGAGCTGTCTTCACCAATTGACCAGGAGCTCTACCTGTTTGATACCAGTGGCAAGCATCTTTACACCCAAAGCCTGCCCACAGGAGATTACCTCTACAACTTCACCTACACTGGAGATGACGACATCACATTCATCACAGACAACAATGGCAACAGGGTGGACATCAGCCGAGACTCTACCGGGATGCCCCTCTGGCTGGTGGGCCCAGATGGCCAGGTGTACTGGATGACTATGGGCACCAACAGTGCACTCAGGAGTGTGACCACACAAGGACACGAGCTGGCCATGATGACATACCATGGCAACACTGGCCTTCTGGCAACTAAAAGCAATGAAAATGGATGGACAACATTTTATGAGTAAGTATCAGGCAAGGCCATTTAATAGTTTTATTTCATGAGATGTATTATAGGATTAGAGGTGAATTGATGGAGTGTTAATTTTTGTTATGTCCTTTCAGTTCAGGATTTGGGATGCAAACCCTTATCTATAATATATTCTGCATGTTCATATTTGAGTTGCTTGTGCCTGGGAAGGAACATGTTGTAGTGGAAAAGGCATGAGCTTTGGAGTCAGAGGAACTGAGCTGGAATCCCAGCTCTCCCATGGACATAATCTCTGGAGGCCTCAGTTTCCACATCTGTGAAATGGAAACAATGACTACCTTCTCAACATACCACAGGGAGGTGATATAGATGAAAAGTACTTGATAGAGTGCTAGCATCTTCGTATGACCACTGTCCAGAAATATGGCAATGGGGAAAGGAACATTTCCATGTAGATGAATTGTCCAATTACCAAAGCTCACATCTTAAGTTAAAAAAAATTTTTTTCATTTTAACCATTTTGGATGGAACTTATGAAGTGCTTTACATGCCTCCCTTCTCGAACACATTATACAGACATAATGAAATCTTTATTTTTATGAGTCAAGGTCATTCATAAGGAACACCCACAATTGCACAGTATGCTGTAATATGAAGATAGTTTCAAGGAAGTGATGCGGTAAGGCTATAGGACCCTTCCCTCCTGCCCCAAATGATTCTACACTTTCTTTTATTGGGTCCTGTGTCTAATAGGTATAGTTGTACTGCTTCCTCCCTTGGGGTGGCACTATTGAATCACTAGTTGTTTCTGCAATAGAGCCCCCTCAAGTAGCTCACTTCCCTTCTCTTCACCCAGGATAGGGCTTCCTCCGTGGTGTGGTCAGAGAACCAGAGATCAGTTCATTCCAATCCTATTAAAAACCAAATATATCTGAGATGTTTCTCTATAAGCTATTTTAATCAATGGACTTCATAACATCTCCCTTTCTACCTAGATTTTAAGGTTCTTTTTAAGGTCTTAGCCACATTCCAGAGTCTGTCTAACTGAGTCTGCTGAGCACATGACCGTTAGATAAGTATGCAGGAGTTGGGGAGGGAACTAGCCTTGTTGCGCACCAGACACGGGTTAGGAACCACATGGTTGCGTTTAATTCTCACACCAGCTCTGGGAAATGGGTGATATTATCCGTTTTACAGAAATTGGAACTGAGATTCAGAGAGGCTCATTCATCCACTGTTATATGTGAGAACATAGCAGAACACATCTGTCTGATGCCGGAGCACATGCTCATTGAGCTCTGCCTTGCTTCCCGCTGCTGTTTATTAATTCCAAATGAACTTGAATCTTTGAGCCATAAATTTTTCTTAAGCTTGATCAAGCATCCGTTTCTCACAGTCCTAGAATTCGAAGGAAAAGGATCTGTAATAGGTTTTTAAATACAATGTGCACCAAAAAAATGTCACAGCAATTTGTACAAAGTTCACTGGCTAAATTCCTTGTTAATTATAAAGAAAAGACAAAGATCCAGGAAAACAGCAATTATCTTGATTAACTCATTGAAATGGAAATACGCTAAATAATTCCATTTTCCCCCATTGCCCGACAGAAACCTCTTATATATTATTTAGCCAATACAGGGGTTTCTTTGTCAGAGCAAGTTGGTACACTCAATTAGTTCCCAAGGTCACTCTCTAATCCCAAACTGAATTCTTACACTTCACTGCACCCGTTACTCTCTACCAACCCTGAAATCTAAAACCATTTCCTACAACTCTCCCAGAAAGGACCCCATTTCTCCCTCTCTGGCTTCCCTGATAAAATATACAGCCAGAGTTAATGTTTTATTAAGAAGAAGAAGTTAATACAGGTGCTTTGTATAAAATCGTATTCAAAATTCCAAAGTATCCACTAAATAGCATTACCCAGGAGTGGAAGATAAAAGCCCTAAAATAAAGATAGAAACTCATTTTTTGAGGTCCTACTACGTGTCAGGCTCTTTCCCATTTAATTTTCATAGCAACCTCAGGTGGTAGAAATTATCACCCACATTTTTTACAGATGAACAGACTAAGGGACAGTGAGATTAGGTAACTCATCTGTCAACAATCACCATGAATACATGGCAGAGCCAGAACACAAATCTGTATTCTTTTAACTACACTGACTGGGTTCACCTTAAGTTCTTTGTGACTCAGATAGAAATAGAATCTATTTATAGGGATAGTCTGAGGTTCAAAATTTCAAAGAGATAAAATATGGAAAATTCAATGTCTTACTCATCATAAGTACTCAAATGATATCTGCTGTGGTTGTCATTATTAATTTATTATTATTATTATTATTATTATTATTATTATTATTTACAAGCCGTATTAGTGGCAGCACCAGTAATTGCAGAAATGTTGTTTGGGCATGAAAGATGTACCCGGGAGCAGCTTCAAGTAAATGAATCAAAGGAGCAGACAAAGGTTGCAATTGCAGTTGGTAGGGAATTAGAGGTCAGACCAGAAGAGCAAGATCAAGTGGCACATCTCAGAGATCAGAACTAGGAAAGGGTCATGTCTCTGAGAATATCCAAAATGGGCTGGGAAAAAGGCATGCAGAGTGGGTCAAGGAAAACTGGTCCAGCTCAGATTGTGAGCACAGGTGAGGTACCAGATAGCTGTTCTCACTGGGTGATCGCTGCGTGACTTGGGCAGGCTAGCTGGCTTCCAGACACAAGTCTCAACCAGAAACAATGCCTGCTCTACCCAATTTCAGGGCCATTGTGAGGACCAGAAAAATTAAATAAACCCTGAAAGTAAAAATACTTCACAAACTATGAAGCTCCCAAGAAGTAAAGGTGTGATATTATTATCATTATGGTGTTTCTTAACATAAATTTGGACAGATTTTTCTTTTTTTAATATATTTTTTATTTCAGAGAGGAAGGGAGAGGGAGAGAGAGAGAGAGATGGAAACATCAATAATAAGAATCATTGATCAGCTGCCTCCTGCACACCCCCAACTGGTGATTAAGCCCACAACCCAGGCACACACCCTGACCAGAAATCAAACTGTGACCTCCTGGCTCACAGGTTGATGCTCAACCACTGAGCCATACCAGCTGGGCAGATTTGGACAGATTTTTCCAAGGCACCATTGCTCTAGTGAATTTTCTACTTTTGGCTCCATGAGGCAGCTTAGTGAATTCCAATCCAAATGCTCTAATATTTAAACAAAAAAATCAGCCCAGGCTTGCCTGTGACATGGGCTATTACTGAAACCAGTTTTAAGTTGGCTTAATTGATCCTCTCAACAGATTAAATAATACATGTAACATAAATATCACACACTTCAGAGAAACTTGACTTAAAGAGTTCACAATTCTGAGGAATCAAGGTTAGTTTCCTTCCCTCGGCCCACAGATCTGCTGGCAGAAAACTTCAAAGGAATCTATAATGCAACCTTCATCTCCAATATGTGGCATCATTCATTTCAGACTTGGCTCCTGGGTCAATGGCATTCGATGGCTAAGAAAATGGCCTGATGAGCATGAGGTTCCAAGACTGGCTTGCTGAGTGGGCAGGAGCAATCCGTTTCCCCAAGTTTCACAGGGAGAGTGGCTCTGGTGTCCCCTGACAGCCCCTGTCATAGTTACGCTAACATTAACTCCTGTGAGACCCTAATTTATCTCTGTATCAAGCTTAGGGCTTGCCACCTAATAGGTGTACAGCAAGTATTTTATGAATGAAATATAAATCCAGAAGGGAAAGGAGATCAAGAAGGGAAGAGAAAATATGCTGTAATTAGAAGGATACTAGATTCGAATCCCAGCTTCAGCACTGACACTGCTCCCAGCAGGATCTAGAATTCAACTCAAAAGGTTCAAATGAAGAGCCTGGGCTTCTGGGTTTTGCTGAGGATGTAAGAGCTAGAAAGAGCATTGTTCCTAGTCTTACAAAAAAAAAAAAGTAAGCCAGACAAATGGCCAATTCACAAGTTTTCCTTGAATTCCTTCTCTGAGGCCAGAGGGCAATAAACTGAGTAAATCCAATGGGCAACAGACTCCTGAAGAGAAAGACAAGATGTGAGCCCTCAATTCCCTGGGTAAGTGCAGCCAGTTACCAGAAAGAAGAGTCCAGCTAGGCTAGCTGGTAAGTTTACAAATGCTAAGTGTATGAAACCCTTGGGGGCTGCAGAGACTGGGGAAGTCCACATTCTCTTCAGACCTTTCTCCTCAAACCCCACCAGGTACTCTCAAGAAGTGGAGAAAGATTTAAGAAAGTGTGCCTTGTATACAAGTATACTTCAGGGAGAGGTACAGCAGTTGCTGAGGGAGGGACTCAAATATCTGCCTGCTCTACCCAGACTCTACGCACCTTCCTCCCACATGGAACAGAAGCCTTAATCTGTGGCAAGAAGGGCAGCTAACTCTATACTACTTAGGCACTGGTGGAAACCCATTACAGCTGAATGAGGGAAGAAAACATTTTTAAACTTCTTCTGGGAGGGTAGTAATCTGCAATGGGCTCAGAATGAAAAGGGGCAGGGGCACTGAAGAGGTCGCACTGTTGAGACTCAGGGACACATGGGTATGTAAGACTGAGGTTTAATCAGAGCAATAGAGAAACAACAATGGTAAGAGCAAAGAGTCTAGGTGGAGCTCACCAGCCCCTACCACTAGCTAAAAAGCTAAACCCAACAGTGAAAAGCACAGTAGTATTGGGAAAAAGATAAGAAAGGGACAAGAGCATGGAAAGAGACCCTCTCTGGGAGGTAGCACAAAGAGGGAACCTAAAGCTGAGGATGGAGTTAACACTGAGGGGAGGGGGAAAGTTTAGCACCCTAAACACAAGGTGGTTAGCAGAATTTAACACCTGTTTCTAAGGTTAGCCATAGAAACAATAGACTTCAAAGCCAGTTCAAATCCTAAGTAAAGTAACTCATGCACCCATGCACCCACACTAAAATACTAGCAGAAGGAAACTCATACCCATCTTAAGGCATAAAACCTGTTACCTCCATCTCTACTGTGCTACACAAGATGTGA